TCGAACTCCTTTGAACTCTCTATTCTTAGCAGGACGATAGGAATTATACGGATACAATTGTTTTAAAAGTACGTCGATTACATGTTGCCAGTGAAGACAGCAGTTGCTGTGTAGTCTAAATACTAATTAAACATGACTACTAGCTTATGACGAGTAGTATTTATATTTATGCGTGTTGCATTCAAAAGGCTCAGACCTAACAGCCTTATTTGAGGCCATTTCCTAGGATGTGTTTATAGACCCACCTGCTTACTCCTTTCAGAACGTCTTCCAATTGACTCCCCTCTCACTTGAGGAATGGTGGGTGGTGACCAAGTTTTCCATGCCGGTGATATTTATAGACGAAATACTGAAGCTCGTTGCGAGGAAATTCACTGACGGTGAGTTCCCACGCGAATTGGTGTGTTTTACTAGACTCCATACAGAGAGCTTACGTTATCGGTATTTATTTATTTGTCTATTTCCAGTTCCTCTGACGGTGACCGATCCCTACAAATAAATTACACCAAGAAGGAGACTATAGATGGATGAAAAAGAAGAACAACTCCGAAATCTACAAGATAGACCAGGAGTCTTCCTGATCTCTTAGCTCAGTTCAGTTTCCTCAAAAAATCCACTTAAATATTACCCATAAGCGGATCCTGTCAGTATCAGTTAACTTCCCCCACCTCTCCCTTAGTTCTGTTCTGTGTCACTGCAGATATTCGCAGTGTGCCAAGTAGCTGTGTGTTCCGCCCGTCACATGTAAAATATATGTCCAGTTTCACTCATCTCAGACCAATCACAGCAAAGGACCGGGTACACAACCTGCCCCGTCAACTGCCCGCGCAAAATGGCACACAGTTGCGTACCGGCGCGATAGCCGGCACCTTATTCAAAGCACCGCCCCCCAACAGCAGACTGTTATCGCCTACACTACAGCCTGTTTCGGTGCCCAATTTTATTTCAGCTCTTTCGCGTTCACCCTATAGTGCTGCACAAGGGAGGATGTATGCGCAGACCTCCTGCACTTCCCCATAGAACATTTTCGAGGATCTTAGCCCACGCCATGTCATGCTTATAGCCTATACGATCCATTTTGTCCCATCGGCCAGACAGCAATAACGTCGGGTACGCTACTTCAGCTACGTCAAAAGGCCTTCCTCTCTTCTATTTTTACCAGTTTCAGGCGTGGCAAAAAACATTATTCGGTATGTATGTCTTACATGTTGTAGTAGGCGAAGCAGAAAAAAATCCCATCTGCTCATCTGCACTCCCACCCTTCCTTCTTCTTCCTCTCCTTCACTGGGGAGGAGATGCGGGACAGAAGCATTTCACCCAAATACTTAGTTTGGAAAGTCCTTGTTCTTTTTCTCTGCCTGTGGGCTTTTTCTCTGTGTTTTGTTGAAAAAGTATACGAACGAAGATTGCCTTAAATCGAGGCTAGCGGCAGCCCCATCATACTCCTAATCATTTCCATCACCATCAGCATCATCCTCAATAGGAACAGTAGCAGCGGTGGGACACTGGACATAAAAACGTTATGAATCGTCCTTCCTGGGAAAAAAATCAAGAATAAAGGGTGGTGAGCAACGAAAATAGTAAATAAAGGATTTGGGAAAGAAGAGCTGTCAACTGACTGTGAAGCCTTGTAATGACGAAAAGAATGCGCAATCGTACCAATCTTACTGAAGAGCCTTTCATAAGCTCTAGCCTCTTCCTCTTAGGAAAAATTCGAAGAAGATTGTGTGGCCATCCTTCAGGTGTGTGTCGCCTCGAAACTGTAATCCATTAATTATTCCTGGGTATTTTTGCGTACTGCACAGGGACGGGCTTCTACACTGTTATCCTGATCGCACTAAATCATACGGTCACCCGTACTCTAATGGTTTCAAACGACGTGAATGTTCAGGGGCTAGGCATGTGGAAGACTGTTTGTTAGACCAGGAGCTTTATTTATATGTCATCTTGGATTCGTATAGGACATACTAACTTAGGCTGTTACTCCTGATACCGGACCAAGGACATCCTAACGCAAAAACTAGAGATATTTAAATGATATCGAACAACGCTGTGATATACTTTGATAATAGATATATGGTCATACCTGGATAATTAAAGTAGACGATGAGGTTTTTTATGATAAAAAATTGAGGCTTCATCTTGAAAACTACTTGACAAGCGCCAAAGCATCGGACAACTAGAGGCGTGTCACAAAATGCATTCTTCAGTCTCAGAATTCAACAGAGGGAAATTTAAGGGATTCTATTCGTGGATGAGCAACAAACACAAATCTTGGTTTTTATAGACTGTATTATGTGTTCTCTCGTATGATATCATTATCAGTATCCAGTTATTGAATTCCCTATTTGTACATGTATGTCGTGGTAGCAGAAAAATGGTATCTCAGATTGCTGGCGAGGCCAATTATCTTGAGTTATGAGGTGGAAAAAAAGGAGCAGACCGTGAAAAAACTCCTAAGGATTTTTCAGACGAAAAACTTTCGCTCTTGTGGGGGGAGGGGGCTGTGGGGTTTAGGAGAAAAAAAGAAAAAAAAGTCCGATCTTGGGGGGAGGATCCGACGGGGGGCATTGCAACGGTCCCCAAGATCATCACCGAGCGCGGAACGTGCGGCTTGATTCTTCCTTGCTGATTGAAGAGTCCGCCGACAAGACTGGAAAAGTAGAAACATCCGCCCAGATTGTCGACAGTCCGCTGCGGGTCGAACCAAGGGTGAGCGTTTAGGCCGCCGGGTTCGGCTGATGCGGTCACTGACGAGGTCATCACGGTACGCAGATAACCAAATAGGGTAAACCAGGGAGACCTTCACGTGTGACTATTGGTGGGAGAGTGTTATAAAATAGCATATATGCATTTTACTGAAATATTGCTATTAGTATAGGTAGTAGTAGCAATTGCCGTTCACCGTTAGTAGACACGACGCTTGGAGTGGAACACTCCTAAAATCGTATGCTATAAAACTAATACAACTAAAATACCGAAAGTCGCATTATTATTGTAAGTTCTCGCGGCGGTCAGTTCATATTAAGAGCGCGCATTGGTATATCCATCCAAATTTCGCTTAAATACCTCGAGGGATTCCGACATAACGGCATCCCGAAGAAGCGCATTCCCCGTTTCGACCACCCTTTTGGAGATTAAGTGCCTCCGAGCGTCCAGCCTGGCCCCAGTCACACGTAATTTGAGAGGATGACCCCTTAAATTCGTTGTTGTTGCTAACTCGAAGAAATCTCCTGATACAAGACAACAGTCCCGAACGTGTATGATGAAAGTTTGAAGAAGTGATGAAGTCACGTATGAACTCGGAGTAAATTTTCCGGTGAAAACCTTTTAGAGTTCGCTCTGATATCTGGTTTGCGTAGTTCAAATTAAATCCATCATACCATTATCCATCACGCTGACTATGGAAATGTTGAATTTGGGATGTGGAATGTGGAATTTGTATGTTGATACAAATATAGTTCAGTACATGGAGTAGCTCATCGCACGGATGCCTCGATAGCAGACTCCCAGGACCTACCAAAAGCATATTAACAGATACTTGTCATCGTCTCCATTGAAGTCGGTGAGCAACTTCTGATGCACGGCCTGGCTATCAACATTATTTAGGCATTTGTCTGATGAAGTATGGTGGATTTTATTATAAGCTCAGCTGAACTGCATTTCAGGACTTTCTTGACCTTCAACGGCCTTATTGGTAGGCAAAAATGGAAAACCGATTAGCTCGCCCTGTCTTTGCTGCTTGTTGAAGCGGTTCGACAGAGGTCTGGATGAGTGGCTTAGAGCTTCTGCCCCGAAAATCAGATATGTGAACGATACGTGCATGGCAATAAAAAAGAGAGATATGTAGCTTCAGTCATTCCCAACACTCATTAAAAATGGAAGGAGAAAACAGCAACCGACAGACGGGAAGATAAGGACTAAATATAACATAAGGCAACAAATACTAGCATTATTATTCAATGAAAACCTAATCATCCTAATATTCACAAGCTCAGTCGTTTCATAGATCTCCTACAACAGGTTTGAACACTTAGCAGGAATTGTGGGAGAAACGGAAGTTGAATTAGCTGCACCCTCTGGACGCAGCCTGCAAATAGTCAAAGTGCTTCATAATGAGGTGCCTGAGCGACCGAGTGTTGAGAAGCCGAGGTTCTGGCATGCAAAGGGAATTTCGGATAGTGTACCCCTTTGGAAGAAATGTAGCCCATAAACCGGAATCAATCATCCGGCAGCAAATAATTAAATTAAAACAGCAAATAGCGATAACAGGACATTTTTAGTGTTAGGTATGCTGGTTAGACGGGAAAAAACCTTGCCATAAGACTGCGCAAGCGCCAGTTTGTATTCTATCGAGAGGATAAACTGTCTCTGTTTATGGCCAGTACAACGTTTCGACTTTGGGGAAGCGATGGTCCTCAGCCTGATCAGACTGAGGCTCGAACGCTTTTCTACGATCGGTACTTTTGACAGTTTAACCGTCATTTTCGACGAAGTCAAACGGTAGAGGAGGCTCGAGGACGGGATCTTGCGCGTGAGTTCATTTATAGCGATAGTAGAATGGCGTTGCATCAACTGCATTCTCTCCTCCTCTTTCACTTGGCCCGGCATCCAGGTTAGAACCAAGGAGACAGGAGACGAAATCGAGCAAAGGTGGCTGCTGCGGTGTGAACTCGCTCCTAAGCGTGCGACTACTACCCTGGTCTACCCACAAAGTCCAGGGTTAACCACTACTGAGTGGTGAGATGCTTTGGATTCCAGCTGAGTGGGACTGCTATAAAGAACATCTTAAGAAGGTGCTGCATTAGTCTCCGTCCTGAGGGGAGGGGGGCTGAGTTATCCCATCAGCTGTCAGCTTTATAAGTTACGGCTTTTAGTGCACCGTAATACAGGGTGTCCCAAAAAAATGTATACACATTTTAAGTCATTGTTAACTTGGTGTTTATCATAATTTTATTATTTCAAAAACGTAAAAATATTTGAAAGTATTATGTTATTGTTCTTTCACTGCATTTTGACTATCGCAACAGTGACTGAATTGAGAGAAGCCACTGAAAATGAATGCTCCCGAATACCAAGGGAATTGTTTCATGGCATGTGCGATTCCATTGTTTCGCGTTGACAGCCATGTCATGATTAAAATGGACGTCAGTTTGAGAACATTCAGTGAAAAAAATGATACTTGTAAATATCTTTACATTTATATAATAATAAAACTATGATAAACACCAATTTTACAAATAGGTAAAATGTGTATACATTTTTTTGGGACACCCTGTAGATTTGAGCACGTCAGACTGTTTATAGCAAGAAATAGGAGATCAGGCAGGCCTCTTCTCTTTCCCCGACGCCAGCTCACTGTCTGAATCGGTTAGTTTTTGATGCAGAGAGGAATCGCTGAAGTTGACAGAACTAGAGGGCTCGTCCGCGCGGACCACATACAGGATTTGTCCCCTATACACAACACACTAAAATTTCACACAAAACAAGGTAGCTAGC